AGCAGCAGGAGAAGGACGGGAGGAATCGGAGTGGCATCCAGGTAGATTCAAAGTCACTTTTGAGGGGGGGGGATGTTGTTGCCTCTGTTTCTGCATTCCTTGCTGCTTTGGAGGGGGGGGAGAAAGGGAGGGCCACGTACGCCGTGGGCACTGGAGGGGGTGGGAGGCTGGTTGTGGTTGCGATGTTTCCTTCAGCAATGTGTTGGTGATGCTTGTTTTCTCTTACCCCTCCTGTCGTCCCCTTTTTTCTCTCTCTCTCTCTGTCTCTCCCCCCCTTGTGTGCCCGTGTGTGTGTGTGTGTGTCTCTCTCTCTGTGTCTCTCTCTCCCCCCTCTGCACTCGCTACCCCCTCCTCCCTCCTTTCACAGACCCTCCTCCTCCTCCTCCATCACCACCTCCTCCTCCTCCTCCTCTTCTTCCTCCTTCTCTCCATCTCAGCTTGGCGCCTGGTCCTGGAGGGGCTGCCGAACCGTCCCCGTGGATCCTTTCCGAACCAAATGCTTCTGTGACCGAGTCTCTACCTTCGCCATCTTAGCCCAGATTGCTGCTGACATGGTAAGTCCCTGCCAAAGGAGCATCTCTCTGCCAGCTAGACAGCCAGAGCGGGAGACGAACCCCTGGGCTTCTGCCCAAAAAGGTGGAGGAGGGAAAGAAAGAAAGGGAGGAAGGAAAAAAAAAAGAAGAAGAAGAAAATACGGTCCAGCCTGTGACATTTCCAGCTCGCTCAGTGCACGCCTGCGTGTGGCAGAGTTGGGGTGTGTGTCTCTCTGTGTGTGTGTGTCTCTCTCTCTCTCTCGGCGGGTGCATCGTAAAGCTTCGCGTGTCGGGGCGACCGTGACTGCATGCATGCCCAGCTTCGCTAGACCAAAGCCAGCCTTTGCACATCTCCGAGCCGCGCGTCGGCAGCCTTGCACAATCTTGCACCTTGCGAGGAGGTGCGTTATCTCTAGGAGAGGCCAACCCCCTTCTCCTGGCTCTCTTTGAGAACCAGTGACCTGAATAATCTCGGGGGGGGGGATCCTGACTGCATTAAAATGTCACCTTTTCCTTCGGTGGGGCCCAGCCTCTGCCTTTTTGACCCCCATTCTCAGCCAAGTCTGGGCTCCTGGGAGCGGTGGGTGGGCTGGGGGCTGGCTTTGCTTGGTGGGGGAGGGTTGCAGATGGGGTCAGGCAATGTTGAGATGCTCCTCCGGGTATCCAGGCCTGGTTTTTGAGATTTGCAGCAGACAGGTTGAAGGCTGGAGGTGGCCTCCTTAGTCCTTTTGAAGCAGGGCTGGGAGTTTAACTCCTTCTCCACCAGATGGCCGGCGTCCAGCTTCAACTTCAAAATTGGCCTCCAACGATCTGATGTACTTTTGGTGGTCTCTAAGGTCTGGATGCCTTCTTCACCCTCTACACCATTTTTTGGGGGGTGGGGTGTGAGGTGCAAAGCTTTGGTCTGGCCCCAAAGAACAGAAGTTTTGGTGTAGATTTTGCCCAGATGCGTCTTTCCAGGAATGGTGGGAATCTGTGTAGAAAGTTGGGGCAGAATATTATTCAAGAACATTACAATAGAAAAGAGCTGGAAGGGACCTGGGAGGTCCTCTAGTCCAGCCTGCTGCTCGAGCAGGAGAACCTATACCATTTCAGACAAGTGACTGTCCAGTTTTTTCTTAAAAATCTCCTAGGATGGAGCTCCCACGATTTCTGAAGGCAACTTCTGTCCCACTGGTTAATTGTCCTCACTGTCAGGAAGTTTCTCCTTAATTCCAGGTTGCTTCTCTCTTTGGTCAGTTTCCAACCATTGTTTCTTGTCCTGCCTTCAGATGCTTTGGAGAATAATTTCACCCCCTCTTCTTTGGGGCAGGTCCTCAAACACTGGAAGACTCCTATCATGTCACCCCTATTTTCTTTAGACTAGCCAAACTCCAGACCCTGCAGCCCTTCTCCGTAGGTTTTAGAAACGGAAATTGTTAAAACTGGCTTTGTCAAGATCAGAAGTTTGGGTGAAGGAATGTAGATAATGGATTTTTGGCTTGGGTTGTTTGTTTTTCTAAAGGTTAGCTTCGTTTCTGGATTTAACAAAGTCGGCTGCTTGTTCTGGGTCAAGTTAAAAATCTCCCCTCTCCATCCGACATCCCTCGGGTGACTCTCGGTTTTCCCCCCGTCCTTCTGGGTTGAGCTCCTGGAAGTTCTTCCGAGGTTCTCCTCTTTGTTTCTTCTCCCCAACCAGGAAGGGCAAAGAGAAGATCGTGGGGATGGGCGAGTGGAGGTTTCCTGGTAAAAAGCAGGTTTTTCCGAGATGGGTTTATTATTAGAAACACTAATGTATTTGGTCCACTAGTTGCCATGGAAACATCTGCACTGAAGTGGCTTTCAAAGTACAAGGGTATCTAAGCTGGCAGGAGGCCAGAAGAATTGGGGCAGGAGAAGATCTGAAAGGATGGTGGACAAGATGGTTGTCCACAGTGGGAACCGTCACATCGTCCAAGCCATCAAGTTGCTCCCTTATCCCATTTGTTGGAGGGGAAGGAAGGAGGGAGGGAGGGGACCGTTATCTAAGTAAGCAAGGTTTGGCCAACTTGGTCATCAGTTGGTCACGATCCAAGAGATCTCCCAAGTCAATGTTTTTTCTGCCCTTCATTCTTCACGTCCACCTTCACAAGTTGACGTCCGCCAAGAACTCCCAATTGTTTGGCGGCCTCCGCACTTCTAGAAGGCACCCGGACAATTTCAGCTACAGCTCCCCCCTCCTTAATCTTATTTACTCCTCTCTTTTTCCTCTTGGTTCATCTAAACCCTGGCTTATCCTTGCGGGAATAAGCCATGATCCGGCTATGGCTTAGATTGTTCCTCTGTTCTTCGTCTGCTTCCCAAAGTTGAGAAGTTTGTTTTTCTCTCTCTCTTCTTGTTATAAACCAGAATGGGTTGTGTTGCCTGAACTGAGACAAAGTGTGTCTCTTCTCTTAACGATGATTTGTTGCAATAAACCAAGGTTCAGGTTGAAGCTGGTTTGTTGTGGGTCATCTAAGGTTTACTTATGTTAAGTCTCCTTCAAGTCCAGCAAGTTTGAACAAAAAGGTTTATGGGCAGAAACGGGAAAAATAACAGAATAACAGAGTTGGAAGGGACCTTGGAGGTCTTCTAGTCCAACCCCCTGCTCGGGCAAGAGACAGGTGGCTGTCCAGTCTCTTCTTAAAAATCTGCAGTGAGTTTTGAACTCACCCTCATGAGTGCCATCTTGACTTCTTTTACCGTACCTTGCAGGACCCCGACTTCTGCTGATTCCAAACTTTTGGAAATTGTATAATTTAAAAATATAAAAAGGGTCCTGAGGGGAGAGAATAGGAAGAACTACTTATATTCAATCACCATTTTTAAAATAGAATAGTGCTGGAAGGGACCTTGGAGATCTTCTAGTCCAGCCCCCTGCTCAAGCAGGAGAACCTATAGCATTTCAGACAGGTGATTGTCCAGTCTCTTCTTAAAAACCTCCAGTGATGGAGCGCCCACGATTTCTGGAGGCCAGCGGTTCCACTGGTTGATTGTTGATTGTTGATTTAAGTTTCTCCTTAAATCCAGGTTGCTTCTCTCTTGGACCAGTTTCCAACCATTGTTTCTCATCCTTCCCTCTGGTGCTTTGGTGAACAACTTGACCCCCTCTTCTTTGTGGCAGCCCCTCAAATACTGGAACGCTGCTATCATGTCGCCCCTATTTCTTCTTTTCTTTAGACGAGCCAAACCCAAGTCCCGCAGCTGTTCTTTGTATGTTTTAGCCTCCAATCCTTGGATCATCTTAGTTGCTCTTTTCTGAATTTTTTTCAAAACTCTCAACATCTTTTTTGCGATACGGTGACCAAAATTGGCTGCAGTATTCCAGGTGTGGCCTCACTAGGGCTTTATACAGTGGTACTAACACTTTGTGTGATCTTGATTCTATGCCTCTGTTTATACAACCCAGGATTGTATTAGCTTTTTTGGCTGCTGCTGCACACGGCTGACTCATAGTCAAGTGATCATCCACTAGGACTCCAAGGTCCCTCTCACAGTTGCTGTTTTTGAGCCAGGTTTCCCCTAATCTGTATTTGTGTCTTTGGTTTTTCCTGCCTAAATGTAAGACTTCGCTTGTTCTCTTGATCAAAGGTGATTTTAGTCGGTTACATTCTGCTTGTTTTATCCAATTATTTGCAGCTTTCTACCTGAAGCATAATTATGAGTTTTCTCAATCTGCCTGGAGCAGTTGGGATAAAGGGGTGTCTTGTTGTTATTGTTAGTTGCGAAGTCGTGTCCGACCCATCATGACCCCCTGGACAACGTTCCTCCAGGCCTTCCTGTCCTCTACCATCTTCTGGAGTCCATTGAAGCTCACGCCTCCTGCTTCAGTGACTCCATCCAGCCACCTCATTCTCTTGCCCTCCATCTTTCCCAGCATCAGGCTCTTCTCCAGGGAGTCCTTCCTTCTCATTAGCTGGCCAAAATACTTGAGTTTCAACTTCAGGATCTGGCCTTCTAAAGAGCAGTCAGGGTTGATCTCCTCCAGGACTGACCGGTTTGATCGCCTTGCAGTCCAGGGAACTCGCAGGAGTCTTCTCCAGCACCAGAGTTCAAAGGCCCCATGAATAGAATAGAAGGGACTTTGGAGGTCTTCTAGTCCAAACCCCTGCTCAAGCAGGAGAACCTATACTGTCACAGACAGGTGAATGTCCAGTCTCCTCTTAAAAACCTCCAGTGATGAAGCACCCACAAATTCTGGTGGCTAGCTGTTCCACTGGTTAATTGTCCTCACTGTTAGGAAGTTTCTCCTTAGTTCCAGGTTGCTTCTCTCCTTGATCAGTTTCCATCCATTGTTTCTTGTCCTGCCCTCTAATGCTTTGGAGAATAGCTTGACTCCCTCTTCTTTGGGGCAGCCCCTCAAATACTGGAACACTGCTATCATGTCTCCCCTATTTCTTCTTTTCTTTAGACTAGCCAAACCCAGGTCCTGCAGCCATTCTTCATATGTTTTAGTCCCCAGGCCTTGGATCATCTTAGTTGCTCTTCTCTGAACTTTTTCCAAACTCTCAACATCTTTTTTGGAATATGGTGACCAAAATTGGCTGCAGTATTCCAGGTGTGGCCTTACTAGTGAATCACTGCTGTTTTGATGATGTGACTATGGAGATGGTGCACCGGTCGTAAGTGTGAAAAACGGTCGCAAGCCATCTTTTTTCAGTGGCATTGTAACTTCAAATAGTCACTAAGCAAAGAGCTGTAAGTCAAGGACTTTAAATTACGATTTTACTGGCTTTTGTCTGAGTGACTCCAGAACTGATGATGCTCTGGAGAACTTTCAACACCTGGATCTTCTCCCAAGCTCTGAGTAAGGATGGTGGGAGGTCCTGCTGCGTGTGTGGCATCTGTTTAATGCCTTGCCCAGATCTGCCATCTGTTTATTGTTTTATGGAGATGGTTATTTTTCATGTTGTGTTGTTTTGTGAGCCATGTAAAGTCAGTCAGGAGTTGGGTGGCAGCTAAACTGAACCAATGAATAAGTGCATCTGCCTTGACCATAAACCTAACTTATTGCCCAGGTTAGA